TTTTTCAATCGGTGGAGATTGAAAAATAACACGTGTTAATTGAGAATTGACAAATTTTGTGATCGACGCAGAACATAATTACTCTTTTAATTGAGGTTAATTAATTTTTCTAAATTCAGAGATTCATTTTTGTCATTTAACAACTGTAGAATAAACATATATTTCAATTATAATTTACTAAACCATTAATGGATTTAAAATCAACATAAACCTTATTATTATGTTTTTTTTTATATTCACATTTGTATTTAGTTAACTAAACATTGACTAAGGATTTAATAAAATTGTCAATCAATTTAATTTTAAATCTTTTGCGAAACAAATTTGTGTAGGCTAAAATAGGTTCGATACATGTTGGCCTCAGCTATTAAACTTCTTAACTCATTATCAATATCTTTTGGACCATTAAATGTTGTTATAGCAGAGCGCAATGTATCACAAGTGTATGTTGAAAACGCGTTTCCCACATCACTATTCCATGTTCCGATAGGAAAATGACGCTCATAACGAACAATATTTTGTAAATTATTAGATTTCATGAGATCTTCAACTCTATCAATTATAAATATACCTATTTTTTTTTCGATAAGGAAATCAAGAACTATTTAAATTTAATAAATACAGATATTAATAACTCTAGCATAATTATAAATATAGTAGGGGGTTTCAAAGTTAAAATCAGAGAACCTGATTTTATTTTTCCGATTTATAATTCAACATAGTAAAAATACTATTGAAAAGATCCTACTTATTTTCGAAATCGTCACTTATTTGTTAACTTCGAAACCCCCAAATGATAAATTTATAACGATTAACCATTTTCTTACGTACATTTTTTTGCCAACTTAGCCATATTAGGACCGAAATTCTTTGTGACCATTTCCATTTCGGTTATCTGAATAAAAAAAAAAAAGACTGTTATATTTTGTATTTGAAAAAAAAAAGCATAAATCAAATTTTACCTCAATATAACCTCCAGGCCTTAGAACTCGAACACTTTCCCGAATTAATGAATCCCATTCCTTATCTTGCAAATCATAAACCAAGTGTCGAATGTGAATAAAGTCAAATGATTCGTTAGGAAATGGAAGTCCATTATTAATGTCTGCAGTGACAAAATCCACATTTTTTGGCTTATTAACAATAAAACACTGAGACGTTTTATCCACTCCAACAAATTGACACTTTTGGAAATCTGACGACATTTCAAACATCCATGTGCCAAAACCACAACTATGCACAGAAAAAAAATAGTGCTATAAATTTGAGATCTGGTAAAATAGTAAATCCTATAACATTTATGATAATTTTTAGTTCTAGTTACCCAATATCTAACACCTTGAGACCGCCAAGAGTTAATTCATTCCTAATAGGTGAAGAGAAATTTTCATTAAAGAGTTCTCTAACAATGCAATGGCGTAACCCTGCTTGTTCTTCTTCACGATCAAATTTTTTAGGTACACCAGTAACTGAGAAAACATATTGTGAAATTGTATCGAAACTATTTACATCTCTTCGATTTTTAGATGAAGAAGTTCCCATGTTTATTATGAGTTATACTCGTTTTTTTATATGTGAATTTTAGTTAAATACAACCTCTTATGTATGTTGTAAGCGGAAACAGAATTTAAATTTGATTTGAAATTTCCTAGTTAAGGTATAGGTTTATATGTGACAATACTTACAACATGTACATTGGTTCCAATTTTTTTTTAAAGTATCACTACCAAAAATATTTAGAAAGCAATTAAAAATATTTGCGAATTATGTACTACATAAATTTATTTACCCCTTCAACTTTTTTTGCCGGCGCGCCGAAGATCGTTTCTGTATAAGTTTAGTCTTCTTTTTTATTGGTTTCGCCTTTACTCGTGATACGCTACATTTCCTTATATACTAAAACGGAAAAGATTTTTTCGTCAAAAAAATTTAAAGTTGTATACGCATGCCACAAAAACTTTAAAAAATTCTAAGTTCGTCCACTTTTGATTCCATTGTTAGATTTATGCAGGTTTACTAATTCCCCAAGTTCCTATTGGTTGATCTTTCTCATTGGATGAATCAAATCATTAGGTGGCTAATTAGGGATGAATCGGTCTTCGTAAAGACCGGAACTGGATGGTAAAATACTGAAGACCGAATAATTCTCAGTCCTCGGTCCAGAATCGTCCGGTCCCGGACCTGATCATGGTCTAACAATGACTAATACTACAGATAAAAAGCTGATAAATTAATATAAAGAAACAACGCAAATAATAATAATAATAATAAAACTTTCATAACTCTTTCTAACTATGAACGATAACAGAAATTTCTTGTTTCCATTTTCCAATATTTCTCAGTGTGATAAAATAAGTGTTGAAGCTCCAATTTCTAATGGGTTTTACCATGAAATCCCGAAAAACAGATTCCCGAAAGGACGCAATACCGACAAGGCATTATAATGCTGGCCAATTTAGTCGGTATTATGTTCTTTCGAAAAAATGGCATTCGGGATTTCGTGGTAGAACCTTTCTAATGATGTTTCGAAACCTTAATAAAATTGCCATAAAATAAAAAAATATAAGAGCTAGATAAGAAGACGAATCTACAAGCGATCAATGTTTAAAGAGTTGGCTTCAAAAGGAATTTGAAAATTGGATAGTTAAACATTCCTGTACTCAATTTTTATATTAAATTAGCTTCACATATAAAATACATATAAATATTTACGTTGCTGTATTTTTTATAATATAAATTTAATGTGTGCTGTATTTCTATAATATAAATATAATGTGCCGTATTTTTATAATATAAATTTTTAAAAATTTGGCCGCTAATAAATAAAAATTTAATGCTATGCATTGAAAAATTATAAGTCGTGAGACTGATTTTAGGACCGAAAAGACGGACTGACCGGACTAATAAACATTATAAAAAAGGTCTAATAGGGACTGGGACTGTCTGGAATGGATCGATCTATCCCTATGGCTAATGGATTATCATTATGCGCTGCACTATCACTTCGAGTGATTGCTTTGCTATTGTGACCAGTAGAGCTGTAACCCCAGAAGCACGTGGGGATTTGTGGTCGGTGTGGCGTAGTAACTGCACAACGGTTATACGTGTTGATCAATTACCAAAGATAGGTTTACCGGCGGAAAGAATAGAAAATGTGGAAAATGTGTAAAATAAGTAAATAAGGGAATAAAAGATAATTCGGACATTGGTAAATTATATGATTAACTAGCTCTTAGGACCCGGCGTTGCCCGGGTTCGAGGCTCTAATATTATTCTAATTCTTAGGCCTTAATTATATTAA